ATTTGCAAATTGACATCCTCCCTGACTTTCTTCACTTCTTGAACAAAGAGAACATGCCTTTCCTTTGTTACATTCTTCAATTCTTTCACATCTCTGGCAAACTTCGAATTTTGAGAATTGATCCGTAGTTCATTATTTTGATCACTATGATCAACCTTCTCCAAAATTCATGATTCAGAGTCGGTAAGCATCGCAGATACTTCACTCATAACTCTGGCTTCGAACAATTTCAACATAGACTCAACCTCCAAAGTTGAAACAGACGAACCACCCCCAGATCAGCTTGAGATTGAATTATAGAATTCAACTTCTGATTTAGAATTTTAAATTGCTTCATGGTCATCAGCATATGATCTGGAAACGCCTCTTCATCTTCATGAAACTCCAATTCCTCAAACATGCCTCCAAACCCCTCAGTATCAGTTTCTGTCTCCATAAGAATGGTTTCTTGAACAGTCGAATTAGGTTTGGGTGTGTCAGTGGATTGAGAAGAAAAAATAGAAGTAAATGGTTGATTGATAATATTTTCGAATGTAGGGGAATCAGTGGTTGATGTAATGGGAATAATGGATGGTGGTAAAGAAACAATACTTTCAAAGGGAGCAGAAGTAGATTGACCTTGAGCTTCATTCTTCGCATCTCCGTCACCCATATTAACATTTGCATCCGTATCAGATACGTTTGCAGGGATGCCTGAAGTTCGTACCTCCTCAGAAACTGATTTGGCAACCGAATCTTCGGGTGGTATGATGATTGTCTGCTCAGGAGTTGAACTTTGTACATGAGGAGTGACGTCTGGTGTTTCAGGAATTCTTTCATCATCATCTTCTGTAGACTCAGTAGAAAGCATAAGCTTTCGTGTCTTCTTCTTCTTCTTCTTAGATATGTGTTTAGCCATATCTGTAGCCCTTCGCTTCTTTGACGATGGAGAAACAGGCGCTGGCATTTCACAAATCAAAACACCCTGATGAGTAACCCGAGGCTTTCGTACTACATGAGATGTTGGAGACTTACGTAGATGCGAAGACATCTTTTTGATTCTTCGAAACATACCAGTCTTCGAAGGAATAACCACTTGCTCTTGAGACTCAGGAACAACAGGTTTAATTATTTGAGTCTCTGCAATTGATATTTCTTGAACCACAGACTCTTCAACTGTAACTGGCTTCTTCTTTAGAGATTTCAAAGATTGCGAATCCTTGGTTTGCTTTTCGGAAGAATCCGGTTCAGGCTTCTTCGATCGTTTAGATTTCTTTTCTTCCCTTGGCAACAATTTCCCAGTTGGAATAGTAGAATCAATAGTTTGCAAATATGCCACTAAGACTGAATTCGAAGGATCAACTCTTTTAAGCATAACATCAGGAATACGAGCAACAGATGAAAAATCCTCAGCACTATCTGTGACTTCCTTCGGATAGTGATACGATTGAAAAACAACTTTTTCCTCATCATTGGGTACCAAAATCCCTTCCTTGTTGTAAAAGTATTGCAAAATCAAGCTCCAGTATCTTGCACACGAAATATCATGAATAACATTCGTGTGTTCTACACTCTTTTGGAATTCCTTCCACAATTGTGTAGAATAGTCCACTTAAAGATCATAATATATACCAGCAACCATTGCATAAACCTCCATTCTTCGTTTGTCAAGACCAACTGTTCTCCCAGTTAAACATCTTAGAAAAATACCAAATAGGAAATTCCATAGTCGTGGAAGATCAGGTTTCTTAAAATCACTGATCTTTGATAGTGGAGGCTGATATCCCATCTCATTAAACATATTAACGATTTGAGGGAATGTGAAAGCAACATATGGAGGTGAATTCGGAATTTCAAGAATTTGACAAAAGAGTTTCTTGGATAGCCTGACCTTTTTGTCATTCACCAGATGGAAAGTAATTGTATCAGAAGCTTTGTTGTAAGTAGCAGTTGATCCTGCTTGAGAAAGCCATGACATTGGAACAGAGAATGAACTGAACATCGCCTTAGACAAAACAGAGTTCTTAAGATGATACGTTTCGAAGACTAAAATTTCTTTTCATTTTTATTTAGTATTTCTTATTTTCTTCTATTTTGTTTTATCTTTAGAAAAGCAAATTTTGTGACAGTCTTTTGGGTAGTGATATGAGTTAGTGATAAAGGGCAAACGATATACGTGTAAAGCACTAAAGCTGAATTGTCTAAACTATGTGTTCAATGTGTTGGTAGGGATAAAGGACTAAGGCTAATGGACTAGACAATGTGGATCCATTTGAACTTAGAAAACCTCATTTGGACTGACTATACGACACTTGGATAGATTTAACAGTAAAATAGACAATGAGGCCTATGACATAAATTGAAGCTAACTATCATCTAGATCTGTGACTCAACACTTCATTGGCGTATGGATTCGTGTCCTTAATTCTTGTATTGATAGGGGGTGACTTAGGGGTTCTGATAAATTGGGTCTGTTTAAAATCATTATTCTTTCTTTCTTAGTCAGCCACATGCTGTCCCCTCTGCGTGATCGGAAGATACGACCTGGGACACAACATGTGCACACGGATATGTATTCTTTCTCACTCTTAGTCAGTCATATGTTGTCCGCTCTGTGTGACTGGAAGATCCGACCTAGGACACAACATATGCACTCAGATGATATTCACTGCTTTTAAGTTAGTATATTGTTTTCTACATATATCCTACTTTCTATGTTAGTCATATGTTGTCCCCTCTGCGTGATCGGTAGATCCGACCTGGGACACAACATATGTATTCCACAATGATTATTTACTCACCTAAAGTAAAGGATTCCGAAGAAATTTCCTTGATTACCAGGGTATGCCATGAAGTGGGGAACATGTTCCAGTGTACTAACATTAACTGCACCCATAACTAAAGGCTCACTGGTAGATTTTACTGGCTAAATTTAAGTGGACAACAATATCCCTGGTCGTCGTCAGACAAAATGGTCTATCTAGGAATACAGTAGCTATATATTGTCACTCATGATCTATCCTGAAAAATGTTCTTTGTGTTTAAGTGGATCACAATATCAATGATTGACCATAGCTTTTCATGAACGTGTGTGGTGATAAACCTCATTAATTTGCTTCATAACGTTTGATTCCAGAAGTTTTTGTTCTGGATTACATTTTTGTTTTTATTTTTATTTGAATTTGTACATATTTTCATTGTTATGCACAGATTTAGGGGGAAAAATTATACCAAACAAAAATAAATAATAACAATAAAAAAAATTAAAAAATAAAAAAATAATAAAAAATAAAAAAATATGTTTAATTTTATTCTCATTTTGGTTTTTGAAACGTAAAATCGAAGGAAATTTTTTTATTATTAAAATTGTGTTATTTTTCTTTGGGCCGAAATCGGTTAAGTGGACCAATTTTTTTCGGTAATATATATACCTCGTTTTCGGCTGATTAGGGTTTTTCGCCAAAAACCCCAAACAACCATCATCTTCGTTTTTCTTCTCTCCCAAAAGCTTCGAGTTCTTCTGCTAAAAACTATACATTCGTTGTTTTGTTGCAAATTGTTTGGTGAATAAGGTATTGTTTAGATTTTCGATCATGACAATGACATTTAAAGTTGTTTTTGGTGTACTCGATTTCATAGGTTTGTAGGTTTTCGAGTGGATTTTTCAAGGTTTTCGAAGAACTGAGTTGAAACAGGTTCCGATGAGATTTCGGGTTTTCGATTCAACTCGGATTCGACCGAAATCAGATGAAGATCTGACTGAAAACTGGGTTCTCGGCCGAAATCATCCAGCGTTGACCGAATTCGATTGTTTTTGACCGAAATCGTTCAGTTTTGACCGAAATCGAATGAAACCTTGACTTTAACCGAAATCGACTAAAACTTTGACTTTAACCGAAATCGACTAAAATTTTGACTTTAACCGAAATTAGATTTCAGACTCAATTTAATTATTTTTTAAGTCAATTCTCACTTGGCTAGTTTGGTGCAAACACATGGTAGAGAAACTTAAATTCGCAGACTCTCACAACATTGTTGGATATCTCATGGATCCACCTGCTGCTCAGCAAGAATTCAAATCCACGATGGTGGGTTTGAACAACTGCAGGATTTCTCAAGCCCTTCTTGCCAATCCAGTCATTCACAAAGACTTGATCACTGATTTCTGGAGAAATGCCTCGATCAACAAGCTAGGAGCAGATGGAGCTGGTACTGTGGAATAATTGGTGAAAGGAACACAAATGATTATTTCTGAACAAGTTATCCGAGAGGTACTTGAATTTGGTGATGCTTCTGCATTCCTAATTGAGTACTCTGCTGATCAAGTCAAGGAAGTTCTGGAAAAGATGTGTTATGAAGGAACTTATCCTCCCACTATTAAGAAGTTATTGCCACCTTACTGGAGGTTCCGGGTACACTCCTTTGTGATTTGCATTTCTGGAAGAATGGGAGGCTCTGATGAAATTAGTCAAACTGTGACTTCAGCTATTGTTGCTCTGGCTATGGACTGGGATTACAACTTCTCAAAGTTCGTTTTTGAAGAGATGAAGAGCAACCTTCCGGGAAAGAAAAAGGACCTATTTTTAATGTACCCCAGTTTCCTTCAAATGATCCTAAATGAAAAATATCCTCAAATAGAGAGGTCGTCTGATACTTTGGATATGAAAGCTTTGGGTCCCAACACTTTTGGACTCATGAAGCAATCAAGAAAGGCTGCCAAAGTTGCTTATCAAGGATTGAAGGAGTTGGTTAAATTTGGAAAGTTTTCTGAAGTTGAAGACACTCCTGCTGTTAGTTACATAAATGTTGAGGTTGTCGAGGAACACGTGGCAGCCAAACCAAAGTTTCAATTTGCTTTTGAATAAATTGAAGTATCTGATGATGAAGAAGATCAAGAGGATCAATGAAATTAATTGTTAGAAAATGAGTTTGAAGAGTTTATTCAGTAAAATATCTCAATCCCTAAAAAGGATGTAGCTGTCACACCTCCGATTGTGACTGAAAGGGAAAGTGACACAACGATGCAATCTTCTTTTCCAACCTCTGAACAGATGGATGCTCTTATTGCAGAACTTCAGCGAACTGCAAGGAAGCCTCCCCAAACAGTTCCTGTTGATACTGAACCTCCATCTAGAAGTGATCCAGAAGACTCAGCCAACGCTTTACTCCCAAGGAAGCGAAAGAGAAGAGATCCAAGGCCAGGAGTGCTTAACACAGACCCAGTTCACAAGAAATCTACACCGATTGAGTCTGGTTCTATGGCTCAAAACATGCAAAGCCCAGTTACTGAGACCTCTCCAGTGACTCAAGAAATGTCAAGCCCGTTCACTGAATCCATTCCTATGGATCAAGATTTTCAAAGCTCGGTTATTGAAGAAGATGTCATACCTTCAGAAGGAGCTCAAGCCTCAGGAAGCTCATTTGAAATACATGAGCTGGACATCTCCAAAGGCAAAATCAAGTTTCCTAAATCCAAATTAGTTGATGTGGTTCTGCTTCAGAACAGAGTCTTTAATTTGGTACCAAGCTCTGCTGAAAAAGATTTGATTATTGGAAAGCAGGACATTTGAATCAACAAGCTTGAGAAAGAAAACTCAATTAAAGATTCAAAGATCTAAGAACTTCAAGAAAATCTCGATGGTCTAACTGCTCTATTCTTTGACCTGAAACAACGCCTATTTCAAAAGTTTGATGATGAATTTCAACCTTTGAGCGCTGAAGGAGAAAAGATCACTGCTTCTAGTTCAGGTCCCGCCAATCAAGCTTCTCAATCTTCAAGTGAAAGAGCTACAACACCTGCTCTGGATGCTAATATTGATTCATTCTTATCCTTCGGCCTTCCTTCTGCTTAAGAAAGAATAGAGAAGCAAATTAGGGTTGAGCAGCTGAAAGGGAAAATGCTCGTGATGAAGCATTCAGATCAAAATTCTCCAGGTGATCACCTTGAGATGTTTTTCAGGGAAACAGGGAAGAAATTCATAATTAAATATGGGGATCGTTCTGGTATCATCATGTGGGGACATGATGCTGATAAAAAGACGTGGGTCATGAAGCGGAAAAGTGGAAGAATTGAATATTATGAGAAGGAAGTTGACTTCTTATCCTTGACAAAAGTTGATCTTTCTGAACTCATCCACGCGCCTTTCCACAATCCAACTAATGATACCATGGCACCTGCTCCTTTAAGAATTTTCTTGAGATTAAAGAGAAAAATAACTTTGAAGACTTAAAGAGTGCTTCATCGTTTACTAAGAAGGCCAAGGGTCTCATTGATCAACGCACAAAAAAGCCATGGTGAATGTCATGTGGTCCCCCACAAAGCAAGCCAAAAGGATTCCTCTTCCCAAGCGTTTACCTGAAGGCACTTTGGATACAATGCAATTCTGGGTTTATTGTGAAGCTACTGCAACTATGGTGATCAAGCTGAAGAAAAACCAGTGTCGTATTGTTGATCCAAAAGATTTGTTAAAGTTTGGAGAACGTGATATCGGCACTTTATCAAACTTTTAGATTATTGTAGAGAATGAACTGTTTGAAGCTGCAGGAAAAGGCTTCACTGGAATGGTAGCTACAATAATTGACAAGAAGTTGTGGGCAGGGGCTTTTGATATAGCAGACGTGCATCTCGTAGAGAAACCTTGAGGAGACCAGAAAGCAATAAAACAAGGGGGAGATTGTTGGGCTATATTTTGTGGTTTATGCTTTGTTTTGAATGTATTATATGGTTCTCGGTTTGGACCGATATCATCTAGTGATTTCGGTGGGCTTTGTGCGTTTTCGGTGGGCTTATTATGTTGGGCTTTAGGTTATCGGTTCAATATATATGGTATGTGTATAGTATTTTAAGGCTAATGTGTTTTTGGTGAACTCTATAGATTGACGGCTGAAGAGTGATTGAATGTACTAGACAATTATTCAATAGAAATGTGTGCATTCTTATTATTGAAACATGTTCTTCATATATCCAATTGATTGTTTCACATCATTGTTTGATTAAGATTACGCATTAATTCAAACAATAGCATTGATACTATGATAGATCCGAGTTCAGGGACTTACACTTGGGAACCTGGTGGTTGGAACAAGTGCAAGACTGGTAGTCTCAGCGATGGTTGGGAACCTTTATATCTCTGGTCAGTGAGGGACTGTCATAGCTCAGAAGGTTTTGGGTGAGATCTCGAGTTGGGTATCGCAGGTGTTTATGTGCAGAATTTTTTTTTCTTTTCAGTGGGATAAGAATTGGGGTATCTATATGCTGAGGTCATCAATCGAAGGGTTCAAGGGTAAGGAATGGGTTCAGTTTTACTGACAGATCAAGCTATTGTGATTGTGTCTTGGATTGGTTCCATCTGTGAAGGGCATCAAGATAAGTCAAGGCAATATTATTGAGTTGGAACTCGTGTGTGGAGTCGCTTGTTATTTTGAGAATATGTTAGGTCACTTGTAGTTTGGATTAAATAATCCCAGAGTAAATGATTTGACCCTGTTGTGCAGCTCTCGTCTGAGGCTAACTGTTGTAGGGTTGAGTCTTCTACTCGAAGGATTATCTGAGCCTTCTGTCAAGTATAAGCGTTCCGCAACAATAATTTAAAGGAGGAATCAGTTCGTGCCTTGGACATGCCGATCAGGCTTAAGTGGGAGTTTGTCACAACTAGCATTTTGAGCTAGGAAATTCTGTCATCATGTAAACATCAACTATTGTGAGACTTGTATTAACACGTTAAAGTTACATTATGGTTCCTAATGAACCATGTATTGTTATAATGAAAAGCATATATGTCTCTCTATCTCTCTCAAATCTCTCTATGTACCTCAAATCTCTCTCAAATCTCCCTATGTAGTTTCCTTAGTCGAAACTAACTCGAAACGAAAGGAGAAAACTTGAAAGAGCAAGCCCAATTCGGAACCCCTTAAGTGACTTCGAACCATCCCACCGGACATCTGCTGATCCAGAACTGCCGACTTCGGAAAGCTTCGCACCACTCCAGAAGATCTCGCAGCTTCGGACCGGAAGCCTTTGCTGCCTCGGAACCCTCACGGCCTCGGAAGGAAAGGACTTCGGATAGGAGCTGACTTCGCAACCCTTGAGTTCGGAAACTGCTGTGCCACTCCGGAAACTAAAAAGGGACTTCGAAACTAATGCTTGACTCCGCAATTTGAGGATTGACTCCGGAACTCACCATTTGACTCCGGATTTTTGACCATTTCGGACCATTTTATCATTTTAAGATATTTTGACGCCGAGAATCCCACAAAACTCGTATTTTCATAACTTAGACCCCTTAAACCCCTATTTTATGCCAAAATTAAATGTTAAAACATAATTACACAAAAATAATATATTGATTTGACAAGGATATTATTTTAAGATCATAAAGTGATAAGAGGGTTTGACTTTATGATTTGATGTAATTCCCATTCTCCATGCAATTCACAGTAACCCATGCATTATCCACCAAATAACAATGCTTTGAACCTTCAGGTTTCCAAGCACACATTTCCCCCTTTATCCCTTAAAGCAACGACAGTAAGAGGGTTTTAAACTCCACCATTTCTCTCACTTCTCTCATATTCTCTCCAACAGTTCTCTCAAAAGTAAGAGCAAGGATCTTGTTAAAGGCTTAACTTCTCAAGTTCTCCTTAGAGTTTTAAGTAAGTTTTTTCCACTCATATAATATTTTATATAATTTTCAAGATAAATTCACATTATTTGTAACATCCCGAAATTCAGGTATATCTATTTAACCCTTCTTCTTTTCCAAGTTGTTAAGTTTAACCCTTAAAGGAAATATTAAGGCAAATGAGTACGCTGGGCGTACTGAAGAGTACGCTGCGCGTACTCATGCGCTTAAGTTGGACGCGGACTCGCCTAGGTACGCTGGGCGTACCCAGGGTTACGCTGGGCGTAGCGGGCCCAGATGCAAACCCTAATTTGTGGCTTGTACACTATAAAAGGAATGCTAAGGCCTTATCCTCAGCCACCATTTCAGAGAGTGAAACCCTAATAGAGAGTTACCCTTTGTTCCTAGCTTGTGTGTGTGTGTTCTAAGCTTCAAAGTGCCATTTCAAGGTGGTAAAAGAGAAGAGGAGGCCATTTTAGGAGCTAGAAGTTGGTGGACAAGAGTAGATCTGAGTTCTACAGAGGTTGGAGCTTCTTTCTGTGGTAAAAAGGTCAAAGCTTTCCTTGTCATTTGTGATTTGTGCTTCTTGGACCAATTTTTTGGGTTTTTGGTCCCAAGGTGGAGACTTTATGAGCAAATGGTCTCCATTGGCCTAGATCTGCCATATTTCAGGGTAATATGAGTTGTATGTTCATAAAAATCCAATCTTGGACGTGGATATTAAGTCATGCATGAGATTTGGCTTAATGAGGAAAGAGGAAAGGTGTTTGGAGTGTTTGGTTACCTTTATAGCCATGCAAAGGCTTAAAGGTCTCGACTTTATGGATTAAGTGATCTTAGAGAAGTCAGATCTAGAGTTTGAGTTTATGTCTTAACCGTTTAAGACCAAAATCCAAGAAAGGCTGAAACTGAGACTTACGATGGGCGTAAATCTCAGTACGCCAGCGTAAGGGTCTGAGACCCCAATTCTGGATCGCCGGAGTACACCCCGAGTACAAGAGCTGGTACGCGCCGCGTACTGCCCCTGTTGACTTTCGTTGACTTTTAGGGTTTTGGTCAACATTTGGACTTTTGGGTCAAGGAGGGGTAAAATGGTCTTTTAGCCTTCTGTGGGATTGTAGAAAGGGATTTAATCTAGCCGTTGAGAGCCATTATTTATTTGAGGATATTGTGTATGTGATTAGGCGGGGGCTAGATCAGTATATTCGTGTGCGAGATTATCCGAGTTACCCGAGGTGAGTCTTCTCACTATACTGTACCTGGAAGGGTACCTATGTGTGACCGGAAGTTCTTATATGCTATGAGATGTATGTGCTGGATGTTGTTATGTGATATGTATATGCTATGAATGTTATGTATGATAAGGACCGGAAGGTCAAGATGATATGGACCGGAAGGTCGGGAGGTTACGGACCGGAAGGTCGATACGGGTAGGACCGGAAGGTCTATCGGGATTTAAGACGGAAGTCCCCTGAGACACTTGGACTGGAAAGGCGTATGTGTTGTATGTGGTATTTTGGGGAACTCACTAAGCATTTATGCTTACCGTGTTATGTGATATATGTTTCAGGTACTAGCGAGGATCGCGGGAAGGTGCCGGCACGATCCATACACACTTATGGAGTTTATGTTTTGTGATCATGGGATAGGTATTGTTTGATGACATTTGTTGAACATGAGATTTGAGAATGTTTAAATGAAAATCATGTTGTTTGAAAAATGAAAAATTGTTTTGAAAATTTATGTCGTTACATTATTCCACCCGTAATGATATCTGAGAAAAACTCTTAGGACAACATTCCTTCCAAGGAAGTTCCTCAACTCGTCCAAAAGTTTAGGCTTGAGATCTTCACCCCATCACTCCAATCAACTCATCAACCAACTCAAGGTGAGCTTCATACCCCTATTTTTGAGTTTTTATTGTTTTTGGGGGAGAATACAAGTCAAAG